AAGAAATACGAGAGCTCAAGAAAGTTTGTTTCTTGAAAGGACATTGTAACTATTATTTTAATGTGCATCTGTCTATTTTTCTCATGGACGTAGCCTGAAAAGGTTAACCACATAAATTTCTGTGTTAGTAAGCTATTTTATTTGATTTGTATTATTGCATGTTTTTCCACTCATACACACACATCATTTTGGTTTATTTTGTGTCATAAATCTGGGTGCTGTTGTGTGCATCCGCATTGGTGCAATAAGGTTCAACTGGTTAAGTCCAACAAGGGGTATCAAAGCACGTTTCCCTTGACTCCGACACACCGCTCCGTCCTCCCAATCACCGTTTTCGGTATAGCAAACCAAGCGGCAATAGGATGTGCAAGGAAGAACACCTCCTTGTTGGACTAGCTCATATTTGACTATCGAACGGAGTGTTTTGGGACACATTGTCAGTTAGAGGCTATCGGTGAGTGATCACTGTACAAAGAAAGTCTTCAGCGACTGACCGTCAATCATCACCTTGACCAACAATGAAGCACTTTAGTGTCGGTGACACATCGACTGACGGTGACATCCTGACAGCCAGTGAGTGCTTGATTGTTGATGGATACATAACCATCGACAGATACTTGACCGTCGATGAATAGACAGCCAGGGAGTGCTTGACCACCAATGTATACTTGATCGAAGACAGATACTTGACCGACGAAGAATACTTGACCGACAATGAGAGCTTGACAAAATCTCCCTGACTGCCAAAGAATAGAAGAGAGGAGTGTGAAAGACAATGTGTGTGGATTAAAGATGGATTCTAGTATCGAGAGTCGGATGGTATCGCTCAACGGGAAGAATTGGATAACCTGGAAGCCAAAGATGGAAGAATTGGATAACGAAAAGAAGATCCTCCAACACATCAAACTGGCAAGCTTTTGTCACAAATCGAAGAAGGTCAGAGAATGAGACCAAAATCGATTTAACCAATCTATTGATAAAGCTAGATCAAAGATTAGAAAGGGGATCATATGTTTTCTTTGTAGCAAGGAATATACCTCGAATGCTTTCAAAAGCTATTGTGCCAAGCTTGGCATAAGGCACGAAATGATAGTGTCATATAATCCCCAGCATATTGGTGTTGCAGAGAGAATCAATCGCACCATTATAGAAAGAGTGAAGAGCCTTCTATCTGCCGCCAAATTACCAAAGTCGTATTCGGGTGAAGCAGTCCTCACAACCTCTACTTAATAAATAGATCCCCATCATTTCCTATAAATGGTGAAATCTTAGAGAGAGTTTGGAAGTTTGATCGTAGGAAGTTTGATGTATGCCATGGTGTGCATGATGCCATATATCGTACACACAGTCGGCATGGTGAGCAGATTCATCGCTAATCATGACAAGGAACACTGGGCAACAGTCAATTGGATATTCAAATATCTCAAAACTTTAGGGGAGAAAAACCTGTGTTATAAGGGTACTCAAATAACGACATGGCCGGAAAACTAGACTCCAGGAAGTCAATCTAGAGATACCTGCTTACTTTTCAAGGGGAGCTCTTTTATGGTAGTTCAACCTGCAGAAGAGTGAAAAATTGTTGCTACTAGTGAAAATCCAATCGATAGGAATACGTCAGATATGATGATGAAGACCTTGGTCAGAGATAGGCAATAGTTTGCAGAAGCAAGGCTGACATGGGTGTCATTTGAGAATCCAGTTGATTTGTAAAGGGAAACCTCCCTCCTAAGACTGAAGGGAGAGATTGTTGAATGCCCCGTCCCGTAAAAGAGGGGCATTAATGAATTATTCCCCAATATTAGGGGGATACGGTGATCACAACTCATTGGGTTGTTATATGTAGATAACCACTCATGTGAGTTGGGATCATGAAAGATTCTATTATTATCTCTATTAGAGAGAGAGGATCAGGATATCTTCCCGTAAGATAACAACTATGCAAGATGAGGTAGAGATTTTAGGGAAACATAATATCATTTCTTATAAAAAGGAAAAACCTCACATAGTATTAAGGTTGTTGGCTTTACCCACTTTTGACTACTTCTTTAGGCACCCCACTCTCGATGTATTAGAAAAATACAGAGAGCATTCTCTGATATTGAAGAACAAGAAAGAGAAGCATGTTAGAGAGAGAAAGAGAACTTTTTCTTTTAGAGAGAAAAAGAAAATAAGCCTTGAGAGAGAGAAAACCCTCTAGAAGAAATCGGAGAGCTCAATAAAGTTTGCTTTTTTTGAAGAACGTTGTAACTATTATTAATAATGGATCTATCTCTTTCTCCAGTGGATATAGCCTGAAAAGGTGAACCACGTAAATCTCGGTGCCACCAGCAGGAATGCATAAAATGCTAGAAAGATAGAATATTGAGGAAATAGGATAGCTGATTTAAAACATGACGTATAAAAATATTCCAAAATAAGCAAGCAAAGAAAAAGAATGGAATTATGCAAACTTTAGAAAAGAAAACGACATTATGAGAAGAAAAAATGAAAGTAACATATTAAAAGTAAAACTAAAGAACAAGAAGGAAGGAATTAAGTTACAGATGAAGAAATGAAATTAAATGAGCTAAAAGATAAAACAACGTAAACAATATAATAGAAAAAGGAACAAAACAAATAAAGAAAGTGGATACCTAGATGGAAAAGGTAGAATGGGAGGTAGGAAGAAAGGAAATGAAGGTAAAGTCACAACTTTTAGTCTTTTGTATCCCAACCAACCTTTGACCTTTTTTGGTCCCCGCCCCCCTTATTCTAGTTATTGGATGTTGTTTTAGTAATGTTAAATATGATTGGTATTGTAATTATCTAAGGGCCCGTTTGGCTCATTGGATTCAGATTTTCAGGAGTCACTTTTTGTGGAAAATGTTGGGCAATCGTGTTTAGTTTGCCTAGATATGACATTGCTGTTAGAATTGAGATTTCCTTGGAATTCCTGAATGCTCGGTTTAAGCCTAAATTTTGGAAATCTCAATTCCACCAAAATAGGTGGAATTGATATTTCATGGAAATGACCCATTTTGCTATTGAACGAAAACATAATAAAATTTTAGAGAGGAAACTATATCAATTTTAGAGAGAGAACATATTAAAATTTTAAAGAGGGAAACTATATCAAATTTTAGAGGGAGAAAGTATATGAATTGCTTTAGAGAGAGAAAATACATGAATTTCTTAGAGAGAAACTATTTCAAATTTTTAGAGAGAGAAACTATCTCAAATTTAAAGCTTTAGAGAGATCAATTTGAAATTTTAAAAAGAGAAACTATCTCAAATCTTAAGTTTTAGACACACAGAGAGAGAGAGATCTTAAAATTTTAGAGAGAGAAAATACATTAAATTTTAGAGAGAGGAACTACTTAAAATTTTTTAGAGAGAAATATCTCAAAACTTTTAGAGAGAGAAACTACATTAAATTTTAAGTTTTAGAGAGAGAATATAATAAAATTTTAAAGTGTAAAAACTGTACCAAATTTTAGATAGAGAAACTACCTAAAAATGTTTAAAGAGAGAAACTAGATCAAATTTTAAGTTTTAGAGGGAGAATATCTTAAAACTTTCAAGAGAGAAACTATATCAAATTTTAGAAAGAGAAGTACCTAAAATTTTTAGAGAGAGAAACTTTTTCCAAAATTTTAGATTGAGAAACTATCTCAAATTTTAAGTTTTAAAGAGAGTATAGAAAAATTTTAGAGAACAAAAATACCTGAAAATTTTAGAGAGAAAAAAAATTAAAGTTTTAAAGAGAGAAAGCATCTTAAAATTTTAGAGAGAGTAACTATATCAAATTTTAGATTAAGAAAGTATCTAAAATTTCTTAGAGAGAGAAACTATCTTAGAATATTTAGAAAGAAATTCTCAAATTTTAAGTTTTAGATAGAGAAATACCTAAAATTTTAAGAGAGGGAAACTATATTATATTTGAGAGTGAAACTATATGAAATTGTTTAGATAGAGAAACAATCTCAAAAATTTTATAGAGAGAAACAATCTCAAAAATTTTAAAGAGAGAAACTATCTTATATTTTATGTTTTAGAGAGAGAAACTATCTTAAAACTTTGGCGAGAGAAACTATATTAAATTTTAGATAGAGAAAGTACTTAAATTTTTTGGAGAGAGAAACTCTTTTAAAAAATTTTAAATAGAGAAACTATCTCAAATTTTAAGGTTTAGAGAGAACACATAATAAAGTTTTAGAGAAAAAACTACCTAAAATTTTTAGAGAGAGAAACTAACTCAAAATTAAAATTTTAGAGAGAGAAAACATCTTAAAATTTTAGAGTAATTATATCAAATTTTTGAGTGAGAAAGTACCTAAAATTTTTAGAGAGAGAAATTATCTCAAATTTTTAGAAACATTTCTCAAATTTTAATTTTTAGATGGAGAAAGTATTTTAAATTTTTAGATGGAGAAAATATTTTAAATTTTTAGAGAGAGAAACTATATCATATCTTAGAGAGAGAAACTATCTGCAAATTTTTATAGAGAGAAATTATCTTAAATTGTATGTTTAGAGAGATAAAGTATTTCAAAATTTTAGAGAGATAACTATATCAAATTTTAGAGAGAGAAACTATATCAAATTTTAGAGAGAGAGTATCTAAAATTTTTCGAGTAAAACTATCGCAAAATTTTTAAAGAGAGAAACTATCTCAAATTTTATGTTTTTGAATGAGAGTATATTAAAATTTTAGATAAAAAACCATATCAAATTTTAGAGAGAGAAACTATCTCAAAATTTGTATTTTCTTGATTTCTACCGGATGCAATCCAAATAGGATATACCATATTTAAGGAAATGTAAATTCCAGAAAATCTCAATTCTGGGATTGACTTTTCCAATGATTGAAAAATCCAGAGATCCAAACGGGCCTTAAGAACATGTCGCTGGAATATTGCACAAATGAGAAATTATCAATACTACTTTACAACTTGAATTTGTCCTCCTTATATATGCACTGTATAACTGATGTTAACATTAATTCCTCTCAGTGGTGGCAGCTGAGAAAGCACACTATGTTACAAGAGACCCAATAAAGGCCCTAAAGAAGTACATTGTAGAGAAGAAGCTATCAAATGAATCAGAGTTGAAGGCTATTTAGAAGAAGATCGACGAGGTAGTTGAAGATGCAGTTGAATTTGCCGACAAAAGCCCTCTTCCATCTCGAAGCCAGCTCCTTGAGAATGTGTTTGCTAACCCAAAAGGCTTTGGTATTGGACCTGATGGATGGTGCAGATGCGAGGACCCTAACCATGCTGGAGGTACTGCTCAGGTTTAGACATCCTGAAAGGGTCCCACTTGTGGAATTCAGATTCAGTTTCTGCTAGATCCAAAAATGAAATTACAAGGGTCACTGTGATATGAATGAGGTTGTCGTACTTAGCTGGGGAATTTTTCTTCCTTTTATTCTAGTGTTAGTTATTTCTATTATGTCCTATTTTTACTAAAGTTCGGTGTTGGCTATTTAGGCCATTAAAGGTGTTACAATAGCATGTAATCAATATTTTGATATAGTGGAATAAAAATTATGTGGGAGTATTATCCAATAAGACCAAGATAGGCAAATCTTATTTGTAATACTCAGACTAGATTTAACGTGCTACGCCAATCGAGTAGGAAAACACTTAATTACCTAGGCATAGAGCACAACCGATGAGGGTTAGTATGATTATCCCTTGATGAGGTTCGAGTTGCCCAGGATAGAGAGTCAAGGAACTGTGTGACTCATGTGTGTGATAGTAGGCCTGTGCAAACGAGGGTCAAAACATCATTCTTGAACCATTACACAATATGTACATATGATAGTTATATTGGGAAAATAGTCACCACTGGGGGTGATACATATACATGTGCGAGAGATGACCCTATGCACCATAGAGTTGCGGTTGCACCTAGTCTGTGTGACCTCGGATTTATCTCTAGGGCAGAATATGTAATGCATGGACTAAAATTATATCCCCTCACCTATTGCCTGACTTTAGTGTCAATCATGAGCCCTTGCGATGGTTATGGGAACTGTTGGGTTAGTTTGAGAAAGTGAGTGTTGAATATAGTCTGCAGTAGAAGATGGACTCGTTCAGTTATTTTATAATTACTTGACCTAGTCTGATTCGATACCATCAAAATTGTTTAGAATAAATTATCTTAATGTTAAATGATTTTTAGATTGATTATTTGAATTTTTAAAAGCCTCTAAGTATTTTGTTTTCACAAAATGGATTTATAAATAGAAAGACATTGAATTTTCAATATTTTAAACATTTAGAGAAAAAATAAAAGAATAAATCTTTACTAAAAATCATAATTATATTATTATAATTCACTATTAACCAGGGGCCCAATGGGGAGTCCACCATAACACCACATGGGATATGAGTGGGGCCCACATGGGGGCCCATGAGTGGCACGCCCACATTGTGGATATAGTTTCTTATTTTCAAACCTTGTAAATCAAGGCATTCAATCAAATAAAAAGTTTGGAAAGTTTGAGATTCAAAAAGATTTGAATATTCAAAAAGATTTGAATATTCAAAAAGATTTGAATATTCAAATAAAGAATGTACAAATATTTATATAAGAGATAGGAAAGTATGAAGTATTTTTTATATTTTTATTATTTGATGGGATTAAGTTTAGGAAGCTGAAATATAAAGTTATAGCATCTTTTTTTGAATCATGATGGCTGAACGGGATTAGAGATTGTTAGAGAGAGAAGGCATTATTAGAGAGGATTTGGGGAGAGAAAGGGCATTGGTTAAAGTGATAAAGCACGTTGCTATAGAGAGTTAGGGAAAGATGCATTAGAGCAAGAAATGATACATTTAGAGAGGAGAGAAAAGATTTTAAAAAATAAATGGCATAGTTAGAGAGAGAGAGAGGGAGAGGGGGAGGGAGGTAGGGAGAGAGGACATGGGAAGCAAAAACGGAGATTGGTGAACTTTCTAAAAAAGAACAATTATTTCATGCGAGTTGGACCACACTTCTACAATATATGGTTCAGGAATATAAAGAAATATTTTGTAGGAACCAGTCCTTTTTTAATGCAATTTAAATCTGCACTTGAGTCTATATGGGCTATCGTTTGAAAATTGAATTTTGTTTACTACTATGGTAGCAGGTGTGTACCATCTCTATGTTATGATTTTATCTCTAGAACTTATATATTACATTTCTTCTAGTTGTTGGCTTGTAAGAACAATAGAATTTCCTTGTTGGGGACTCGGGTTTTCTTCCTTATTCAGTTCTATCTCAGGACTATTTTGAATTAGATTTGAAGTTTCTGTTTTAAGACTTTCTTCCTGGTGTTTGGATTGTATAAGATTTTTCTTATAGTCATTCTTTAAATCAATAAACGATTTTTCACTTTTCATTTCACTATCTTCTCATCCATTTTGAGAATAATCATTTTTCATTTCGAGAATCTGAACTCTAGTTTTAAGAGTTGATAATTCTGCTTTGACTTCCTTAATCTCATTTCTAAGCTCTTGAACAATTGACTCTCTTTGGGTATGATCAGGTTGTTGAACTATAGGGTTTTCTTGAGGTTTAGGATTATTTTTAGTCATATTTATATATTACAGTAGAGCTTCTTTCCTCGTTTGGTGATCTTCTATTTTGTCAATAAGATCAAGAATTAATTTTTCTTCTTTGGAAAGAACATTTACTTCTAGGCCATTCATATTTAGAATTGCCTTACAGTAATCACAGTTGCAATTATTATTGCTATTGTCGTCTTCTGAAGTTGATGATTCAGAATCAGTACTTGAGATTATCAGATGTCCATCCTCAATGGCACCAATATACTTTCTTCTTCTGTATCTGATGACTCATCAAAAGAAGTTTCTGGGTTAAGAAGAATTTGACACAATTGCTTATTTAAGCCTTCGTCTTCTTTTTGGTACGACATTTATTTTTATAATGCCTAACTTTTCTACAATTATAATATGCACACTGATATTGTTTTTTCTGCACTCTTTATTGAATAATCACTTTTAAAATCAAATGTTCCTTTTTTGTATATTTCATATACAACCTTGGGAATATTCCAATTTTGCATTTGTTTTTTGACATTGCTTATTACTATTTATTTGCTATTATGAACATGTAAAACATTGTTATTATTATTACGAGACAATGATATTAGAATGTTAGCCCTTTAAATAATAATTTTTGTTCACTAACGTCTCGTAACAGTGAACAGGAAATAGTGCCTTTAAATACCCCTAGCTCTACTGGTTCTTTGGGTTAACAAACTCATTGCGACTTAGTCATTCTGGACTGTATTAATGAACTTCTATTGTTATTAGCTGGCTCTGATACCAACTACACACAAACACATAAACAGACTATGCACAAATGCATAAACACAACTGCAATACAAACATTGATACTGATATAACTAGACAAGCACGATTGATATACAAATTACAAATTGAAACTAAAATAACACACTTAACATAGATAAAGCTTGACACACCACTAGAAGAACTTGATACATTGAGATGGACTCGAGCCAAGAATAATGTGGAGATACAAGCACTTAGACACTCACATTTATATATACTCTGGCTTACAAACACTCAGACTCTCAAGAACCGATGCCCTCCTCTCTTAAGGATTGCCTTTTCTAGACCTAATGTTGGAGGACTTCAAGTTGTCTTAATTCCAGGTTAATTATTGGAGAATCTTTAATAGTGACATAGAGGTGTCGGTGAGTCACTGTAGCCTTTTTCTTGTAGCCATTATCTTTTGTCGGGATATGTGTCCTGAACAGCGGTTGGATTCGTATCGTCCCTTTCTTATCGCTAGTACTTTACTTTTAGTAAAGTAGATACCTGATGTCTGGTTTATTTAGCTGAAGTGAGGTTAATTCCGTAGCAATCATCACCATTTAGATTATCTAAAGCTTCTTCTCCTTCGCCCTTTGCAGATGTAGCTGATGTGGTTAGTAGTTGTTTCTTTATCTCAGATTTAGATCGATTAGGGTTTTGGTCTTGTATGGTTTTAAAATATTCAACCAATTTATTTCGTTCTTCCTGAGTATTAAAAAGAGATAATTGGGAACTACATAAGTTTATTCCTTTTAGGATAATTTTGTCAGGATCTAATAAGGAGGTATCAAATTTATCCCACCATTTTATAAAAACCTGTCTTTCTAATTGGGGAATATAATTACATTGATCATTATCTTCACTAGTCAAATATGCCCACCTCATAATCCAAGGGATTTCGTATGAGGCAATAAAATAGATATATAGATTCCTCTGATTTAGTGTCCTGTTATAGTTTAGGAATTTTATCCTTGATTCTTGTAAAGAAGCTGGGAGAATATCTACCATTGAGCCCCATGTAATGAACCATACTTTAAACCAATTGGGAAATTCCTTTAAGGAATGTAGTCTAAACTGTCTAAACCAACTATGGGATTTCATTGAATTTTGGTATGAAAAAACTATGTCCCATGCGTTTATGTAATCATAATAATTGTAGGATTTTACCTTACAACTGTTATCTTGGAGATATTTTGATTTCAATGGATGAAAGCCCCAATACCTATAAGAGATTATGTTTAATATTTGCAACTTTGAGAATGCAAGAACAATATTATTTATGTAATTATGGGTAATAGTTACTGACTTGGTTTCAGTCAATATTTCTTCGTAATATTCTCAGTTCTTAAATTGTCGTAAAAATACTTTGAGTATTTTTGATAATTTTTAGGAATTTTTCTAATGAAAACCAAACATGTGGGATTCATAAACAAGGAACACTAGAGTGACAAATGAAAACCAAACATGTAGGATCAATGGCACATGTAGGGTCAAATGGCTAATGGACCTCACATGGGCATTTGGGGCCCACACAGGGCCCACATAGTGGGCCACCAATGATAACGTGGTGATGATGTCAAACATAGGGATCTCTTCATCATACTTGTATTTGTTGTTATTGACCAATATGGAGCTTTGAAGTTAAGCCACATGTTATGGGATTTGAGGGGCAAGCATTGGTCTTCCAAGTCTGGGTAAATCGGCTGAGTCGTACACAGATTCAGTGAGTTTAAAACACTTAGTGGTTCCTGTGGAGGCCTATGTTATAAAGCAACATATCCTACTCGTGAATATAATGAATCTTGGGGCTCAGCTTGAGGTTCTGTGTTAGTGATAAGTGTGTTATTCCTTTTACTTAAATGTGTGTAGGTATTGTTCTGTAATGTTTTCTTGATCCTTGCCAACTACATATCCTCCAAGTTCTCATTTCTCTTTACCATATCTCATATTTTGGCTGAAGAAAATGTGGTTTACATAATCTAACTCTGTAAAAATCGAGACGTGCACCATTCATAAACTTTGCCACTATCAAATTTCTAAACCGTGTGTGCAGAGTCCATTAATAGTTTTTTTTTCTCAAGATGATCCTTGCAATTATCTTATTATTTGTTTGCTATTTGTTAATGAAACATAACATTTTATTATCTATCTTCTCTTTAAAGTTTGTCTTAAATAATTTGCTTCTGCCATCAACTTTGGTGTGTAGTAATCATATCCTTGGTTCTTAGGTTCCAGTATTAAACTGTATAAATTCTTCATTTTTTAGTTGCATATATACTGATGTGTATGGCAAGACTCCTTGTGTTTTAGGACCATAAAGAAGGAATTCGACATTGGATGACAGCTTCGATTTTGTTATTTTTTCTTGCACTGCTCCTTATTTTTCTAGGTCTGTGCTTTGTGGAATGGGGAAATTTTATGGTGTTGTTCACAAAATGACAACAATATACCGTATGTTGTTCAACATTCTTTAAGAGTTGCACTTTATGTGCTTGAATCGGTTTTTTAACTTTGTGGTTTTTTGCTGTAGGAGTTCCTTTGAACAAATCTCTTTACACAACTAGTTACATGTTGCTAACTTCTGCCACTGCAGGGCTCCTCTACTATGCTATATATTTATTGGTGAGTCTAGAATGTTAATTCCCTACCCATTATAATGAAAATCCAGCATCCTTATTTTATTACTATCTTCTTTCGCATAGGAGATAAATATGGAACTATGAATATGAGCCATTAACTAGAGCCCAACTATGGTTTACTTTAAACAGAGAGCCTGACTGAATTAGTTGCCAACCCAAATAGTGCACCATTATGTTTAGAGGAAAGTTAACTTGTCAACCGAAGCATTTCTTGATGCTGGAAAGCATAATACTTCGTTCATTTGATTGTTGCGGCTTATGGATCACTTTGTTATTTGGCATTGTTTAATCTTTATCTATCTAAGTTTGTCATTCATACAGTCCCCTATTAATGTTAAATCTCTCTCCCTCTTATGTGGAGGAAGTTTGGTTCTCTATCAAATATATGGGCCTTAAAGGCATCATCTAAATTGAAAAGGTCCATCTAGTTCAACTTAATTACTGTAAAAAATAGTTACAAATTGAACTTTGGAGAGAGGATAACAAAGTAAACATTGGAGAGAGGATCAGTTAAAAATGGATGGTTATCTTTTGGATAATTGATTCCTACAGAGAAGAACTATCTTTACATCCCTGCAATCTCCACATTCTCTCCAGATTTCTCATTGGCCGTTTATCATCGAGTGAACACCTTTTTTCTTTCAGTAGTTACCCTCGATAATTTGTTTGGGCTGAGTTTTTCCTCCATTTGATTTATCATCATGGTCTTCAACTCTTGTTTGGCGTAATTTTATTTATAAGTTGTTCTTGTTGTTCAATTGTGTAATTGTTGTTTTTGCTCTCTCTAAATTGTGTAGGCCTAAATTGGACTTCTCAATCTCTTTAGTTTATTGGGTAAACATGTTGCAGAGGCAGCAGTTATCTCGATGACCCAATATACCAAAGTTCACTATTTTCCGTTCAATGTTAGCACCTCAATATAGCTTTTAGGTATATCTCAATGACCCAATAAACCAAAACTCACTATTTGCCACTCAATGTTAGCACCCCAATATAGCTTTTAGGTATATCTTTTTTGAGTTTAAAAGCGGGCTTCTTCTCTCTAGAAATCCAATGCATTATCTTAGTTATCAGTAATACAAATTTTGTCTCTCTGAACCTTTTATTCAGTCAATAGAAACCCAATTTTTTTGCCTATCAGTTAGTTGAACAAAGAAAAATGGGTGGTGCTCTTTCTCATGGCGTTCAACCAAAAAGAAGGAAAATGGAAGCAGGGTTGAACTGCTTCACCCATCACAGTAGCCACCAGCAAGCTTGTTGCCTACAACTCTTTGGGTCATCTTCACCAATCTCTATAGTTGCTGATGTATGAAATCTTCTTTTAATACCGTTCTCTAGGAAGCCAAGCTCGACATTGTTATGCCTCCTATTAAACTATTCCAGCAAGAAAGGAATTTGTTCTCCAAGGTGAGCCCGTCAATCTCTCTTATCATTTGGTTTGCATGAACCACTGAACCAACCTGCTGTTGAATTTTCTTTGAAGAAACCTGCTGCCAACTTCATTGTTTCTCAGTATTACAACCGTAATCACTTCAAAATAAATGCACTAGGAGTGCCCCACATCAAGTGTTCTCAATTTCAGTGACATTTACTCCGTGTTTCTCATTAAACCTTTGTTCATTAATTCAAATTTTTGAGGACCTAAAAATTATTTTCTGAACACCTGGAAACTATTAGGTTGCCAACACACAGACTGCAACTTAACTTAAAATTACAATCTAGCTAATTATTCGTTGTTCAATTGTTGGTACATTTTTTTTCTTTTTAAGATTCCCATGGCTAGTAGAATTGGAATGGCTGAATCATCAAAAAAAGAAAAATGGGCTAGAAAATGGAAGAGGAATGTCTCCTCATCTGGAAAGATGGCTCGCTAGCAATTAGTGGGTAAGCAACTAAAGAAGAAGGAATAAGCTAAAAGGTTCCATGGAGGTAGCCTAATTGCTCAAGATATCTGTGCTAATATTCATGCATGATGAATTTATTAGGGTGTTTGAAGCTTATGAGACATTTAAGGAAAATTCTAGAAGCAATAGCCAAAAAATATGACACCACTCAAAAACTCACCACCAATTGCTCCTAGAGCAATACAGGTCATTCAAACGAAGGTTGACAATGTGGTGGAGCATGTGAACCAAATGCTTGTTACGTCTAAGGATTTAACCGCTGTTGGGATGAAGTTCTTGAGTACATGCGAGTCTCCACCATCTTGAATGGACTTCCCTTCTCATGGAGGATGATGATCCCTTAATCTAGGGGACCTACTCTTACATTCAACACTAGAACAAGAGCACATGAATGACGACATAGAGAGTGAGCTCATGCCTGGTTAAAGTTATCCTAGACCTAGCTAATCCAAGCACAAATAACATAAGTTTCACTGGAAATTTAACAAGAGGAACTAGGAGTTATAAAATAAAGAACATAAAACCCACACTCAAGAGACTAATCTAGAATCCCCAAAGAGCTTCACAAGCAGAAAGTGTGATCGTTTCAAAGATCAGTCCTCAAAGATCCGAAACCTGCAAAATTGAAAAAATAGGGAGCATTGGAGCAAAAGGCTTGAAGTGGTTTGTCTGGTATCATAATGATTAATTGTTTTTTTTTTTGAAACCGATAATGATTAATTGTTGTTGGAGAGTAAGTGCATCTACATGGGTAACAACATCTACTCTCATATATTGGGGGTAGGAACATGTAGGCTGTTTAAGAATAGCTACTCTTGGATTAATTAATATATATATTCCACCCAATATGAGTTACAATGTTGTATTTGTTCCTCCACTTGAAAAGGCTTTGAAGTTCTCTTCTAGTTCTTCAAGGTGTCTGTTGGGAAGCGAGCTCAAATTTATTTATAAGTTATCTGATTGATGAACATATTTGCTTCTTGATGTAAATGAAAATAACGCTAATAAAGTTGTTGCTTCTTTTGGTTATGCAGATTGTATAATGGTTGTTGATGTATGTGGTACCTTGGGCTAAGGCATATTAGTAAATATAAATAAATAGTCGAGCACTTGTCACTACAGTGCAAAGGGGCGAGCTTTCTCTATGCACATGTACACGTGTTCCTTTATAGGGTTGCTCCTCAGTAATGCGGTTATCAATGTGATGTCGTGCGAAAGGTTGTTGAGGTTTTGACTCTTGCTTTCACAGGCCTACAACTGCACACAAGAGACCACACAATTTTCCTGGCCTATAAACATCATCCCTGGGCATCTCTCCGACCTCAACAAGGGATGACCTACAGTAAACCCTTCTCAGTAGTGCTACATGCCCAAGGCTAAGGGTTTTGGACATAACCAGCGCCATAAACTACCCAACCCTTGGTCAGTCAATACACACACACTCCCACTGAGTGCATATTCCACTATAAAATTTCATTTTTACAAGTTCTCTAGGCTTTTAAAGCCACAAAACCCAACAATAAACCTCTTATAAAAAGTAGCCAGCCCATGCAAACTACAAACATCATGCACTGTAGTAGTAGGCAATCCTTAATAACTTCTATCTTCCTTTGGTCAACCTTAATCCCCTCTGCTGAAACAAGATAACCAATAAAGTTTAGGTTGTCTGTCATGAACGTAGACCTGCTATTCTCGTAACAAGTCAAACATCAATCGTAACTACTTCATATGCACCTACTCATCATTGATGTATACTAGAATATTATCAAAGTGTACCACCACAAATTTGCGAATAAAAGGCTTGAACACTTGATTCATCACCCTCATAAAAGTACCGGGCATATTGGAGAGGCCAAATGGCATCACCAACCACTCATAAAGGCCCTCTCGGGTTTTGATTGCAGTCTTCCACTCATCTCTAGGTCGAATAGGAATTTGATGGTACCCACTCCTCAAATCTCTCTTTGAAAACATAGTAGCACCAGCTAGCATATTTAACATGTCATCAATGCACAAAATTTGGAAGCGGTATTTGATCGTGATCTTATTAATGGCCCAACTATGAACACATATGCACCAAGTCCCATCCTTTTTGGGTGTCAACCAGGCCAGGACAACGTAAGGGCTCATGCTCTCTTGGATATAGAAGCTTTGTGGCCTGCCTCTGCAACTCATCATGCTCCTTTGGCCTCATTCTAAATGCAGCCTTGTTCAGTAGGCTAGACTCAAGAACAATGTCTATGTGATGTTGAATGTCCCTAATGGATGGTAACCCTTCAGGTAACTCATCCGAAATGACATCACTATAGTCCCTCATTAAGGGCTCTAACTGAGGTGATTCTTGAAAGCAGAGTTTGATACTAAACTCGTACTCAAACTCATTCTGTCGTTGGGTCAAATCGCCTCAGTGACACACAATTTGAATAATTATAAACGAATTCCATATTATTAAGAAAATGCTATAGACCTTAAAAGAGGAAACTGAAAGAAATGAAGGAAAAGGAGAAGAAAATAGCGGGGGCACTGAAATAAAATTGCCCATTCCGTATTAAGTGGACCTATAGACCTTTGATGGGACTACTTTAACTTCCTATGATCTAGAAAATTGAACAATTCCCAGGTGGTTGTACAATAGAGTCAACGTATTATGAAGACATATTTGCATGTCAGGCTTCTTCTAAAAACCGACACAGGAAGTTCCCTAGTTAATTCAATTTGGAAATGCCATGGGGTTGATTCTGATTTTCGGACTAATAGATAATCATAGAAAGAAATCTAACAAGTCGATGTTTGGACTGGAAGAGGATATAAGACCATTGAACTTGATTGTTGGACCCTATAAACTTAAAAAGACGGAGGTTCCAAAAAACTTATCAATGGATAGTAATATCTTAGGAAACTGCTGATGGTTGTAGATCTCAGTGGGTTAGCACCTATATTTTGTAGTTAATAATATAATAAAATCTCGCTTTTATTTCAAATTAAGTGGGAACTAGGTCAAGATCATGACTTCTCGTTCTCCGATAAGTTCCCGACATTTATTCATTCAGGGTTATTTGACTTGCTCAATTGCACTGGCCCGTCCAATTCATATGCCTTGCAAAGCTTTCATGATTGTGTCAGTAATGATGTTGGGGCTAGTACATGTAGATTCTCATGTATATTTTCTTGGTTGAAAAAATCCTACTAATCCTCTTTCTTGGTGGAATACAAAAATCAATCATTTAAGGTCAGTTTGTATAAATAGATCATTTTCTGATACTTTGTTTGGTGTTTATCTTAATATTCAACCTGGTAATTTGGTATGAATACCACTGGCTTAGTTAATTGGTGAGTTAACTGCTCATCAATTTTTTGTCACAGGTTGATGTATATGGTTACAAGCAACCAACATTTTTATTTGAATGGATGGGGAAGCATTCCTTGAGTATCTTCATTCTGGTCGCGTCGAACATGGCTATAATCGCAGCTCAAGGCTTCTACTGGGCTAAGCCAGAAAATAATAATGTAAGTCTTCGTCACACCAGCTAATCATATGTGAAATTAGCCTTAATGAGATGTGTCTCCTAGGTGTGTTCATCTGGATATTGACCAACTGATCAGTTTATTCATTTAATTTCTTAATGTGTAGCCAACATGCTAAGATATCTGACATTATACATGTTGCTTGTTTTAACTAATGCATTCGATATTAGAAATGTGATTGACTTTTGTAGTTCATAATGCACCAGTGTTTTAGAAATTCTAATGTTATTATAACGTGGGTCCGTTGTTATTCATAGACTTCATTACATCCCAAACATGCATTCTTGGGCCTCTCAAAGAGACTAAGTTCACAACAAATCTTATAGTAGAATTGACATTCCCTCTGTAAGTGTTGTGGACATAGGAATATGACAACTAGAATGCTAAGACTTCTCATTTAGATTAATGTGTAACCCGCTTGGAATGCAATTGAGTACTAGACTTATGACATTGTTGCCCTTATTATAATAAACAAAGGGCAACCTCTCCTTAAACATATAAGAAACGACACCACACCATACACCAAAAGATAAATATACACTTAAAGACTATCCCCCAACCCCCCATGGATTCCAAACTGATGTTGTCAAACCATGAGCTTCAGTTTGCTCAGAAATTTGTCATATCTCTTCTTAGTTATTGGCTTGGTAAAAATAACAGGGATTTGTTCTTAGGAAGTGACATGTACAAGGGATATATTGCCATCGACATTTCGCTCGCGGACAAAATGACTTCATATGTTTTGTTTATCCATGTAAGACAGGATTTGAGGCGACCTTGATGGCACTCTGATTGTTAGAATATAACGATATTGCCCGAGGATGGAAATCCCAAGGTTCGGAAGCAGTAATTACCTAGACATGCCCTTTCCTTCCCTTGTATTGTCTAACGATAGTTTGACGCATGTCTACACGTCTCAATATCATATATACAAAGAAAGGTAAAAAAGGCTATGAAACATGTACAGTCGATATACTGCCATCAACATATCACTCATAAACAAAAATGACAACTTTCTATGTTTGGTTTGTCCATTGAAGACAGGATTTGAGCCTATTTTGATGGTACTCTGATTATTAGAATGTTGTAATGACTAAGGATGGAAATCCCAATGATCGGAAGCAGTGTTACCTAGAACACGCCGTCCCTCCCCCAGTATCGCTTGTCCACATGTGATGATACTTCAAGACTTCTCGACAACTCAAGCTACTGTGTATATAGAAAAGCCTATTTTACTAGAGCCCCGAACACCAAGTTAGAACTCAAGACCTCAGGCAAAAGGAAGTGAAGTATACCACCGTGAGTGTCTTGTTTACATGAACAAATAATTCATATTTACTATATAATATTGTAAAGTGTTATTCGGTAAACAGCACAATACAAAACTTAATTCTTGGGATTCAAACTCAAAACTTCTCCACAGCAAGGAGCATGTTCTACCTACATATATCGGTATTCAGTGTAAAACTTATCTACATTATATTATAGAAGCATTATTCAATATAACATAATATGTCTACCAACCTATCCATATCTAATCTTTTGAATAAAGAACTAAACATCTTTAGACACTGGCACTTGTATCAGTACCCACGTAACATGTCCTGAAGTAAACTGGTCAGGCTGATAGCATTTCTTGGAAGTCGCAGATGCATCGTATATATCTTCAAATTTGTAAATTGTGTCCTAAGGCTTGCTGTTCCATGAAATTTGGGAAGGGCCTTAAAGATACACGTAATTGCATATGTTCTGTTTGATGAATGCCCTTGTGAGATCTGGTCCCTTAATATTCTGTCATAAAATAAAACCCTGAGGAGACGTTTTGCACTTAATAGTCCCTGCTATCATTCTCCCTTAGTAAAGGCATATTGAAGGTCAAAAAATCATTTTAGGTACATGTAGGCAGGGATAAGGAACTATTTGACAGTTAACGTGTGGCCGAAATTAAGTTAGCTTTGGAATGACAACTTCCGATTGCCCATAGAAAATCAAAGATCTGGCATGACCCGATACCCTCATGAACCTAAAATTGCCTGACCTAGCTTCTGAACTATGGCATATATATAGAATTGTGGGCTGCAAACCTTTTGTGAGATCTGGTCCCTTAAAAAGCTCCATGCTGTCATTCCATGTTGAAGGTCAAAAAATCATTTGAGCTATATGTAGGCGGAGAGAAGGATCTGTTTGACAGTTAACACGTGGCCGACATAAAGTTATCTTTGGAATGACAACTTCCAATCTCCCATAGAAAATCAAGCGTATGGCATGACCCTGTACCCTCATGAACCTAAAATTGCCTAACCTAGCTTCTGAACTATGGCATATGTATAGGATTGTGGGCTGTCTCCTGATTCAAATGCCGATCATATCGAGAACAAAGACCAATATCACTAGACTGTAAATATCTAGGTTAAAATACAAATTGATTACTTGATCCTTAATGCATCAATTCACCTCAATCGCAATGTGTGTGCATAGTTTTTATATAAAATGGATATTCAAATATCACTTAATATATTGCTAAGTATTTGATGTGAGAAGATGCTCCAAGTTATGAACAAAAAGAAAACTTAATCTGTAAGAATATTCAATATTCTCTTTATGGAAACAATTAATTTTATGGGCTTATGGAATATAACGATATTTTTTAAAATTATTTTTAACCCATATTGAAGTCTCGGAACTACACGAGAGCATATTTGAAACTTTTTAAACTTCAGGAACATTTCAAAAATCATTTAGACTTTTTAGAATATATTATTTAAGATGTGTTACATGTAGCAGCACCATTGTTCATTAAAACTGGCATGTGTGCTTTTTATGAAGAATATTGATGATTCCCATGTCCGTACTTGGAACTTAAGGTTTTTTGAAAGGAAATTAGGTTATAGTAGGTTTGTCAAGTTACCTTTTGTCTTCACCGTTCGACTACACATGTTCGGATGGTTGAGGAGTCGAGCATTAAGTTTCTTAGGAAGATGGCTAAGCCCCATCCCTCCACAGTACACCACCAGAAAGATTTGAACTAGACCTCATGTACCATCTCTCTTTCACCATATCCCTCTAAACATAACCAGAATCCTGAGACCTTATCATTGCCGCTTTGCAAAAGCAATCGAACCAATGATCACACGATTATGATTCTACCTAAGCTAACACCATTATTGAAAAGTGAGGCTAACTTCTTCGAACCACTATTATTGGTTTGTCTTCACCCAAAAGATAAGATTTTAAGGGCATTGCTTTATGTGCAACTAAGTATTGTAAATAACAAAACCCATCCCCAGCAAATTTCTTGACATTGGTGATGTAATTTTCTTGTGGCGAGCAAAGAATAAGCATAGCGAGCCATGTGCTTTAGAAAGCTCAAAGATGGTTATAAAGCTTACTCTCACCATTCCAGATTTCCCTTCAGATTTGGATCTCTGTAGAAGGCATTCCTCACTATGCATGCTAAAATATGAATTGTGTTTCATGCTCAAGGTTTAGGGGCTCATAGGAATAATGCAGACAGATAAAAGATGAATACTATTTGTTGGGATGTTTGGTCGTAAGTAAACCTACATAGAGCTGGCAACGTGCTAGATCTGGTCTGGGTCAGCCTTGGCCCTAGTCCAACAGCCCTGGTGCCTATAGGGCTGGCCTAAACCAGCCTAAACCAAAAGAGGCCTTGACCCATGCCCTGCCCGAGACCTGCTAGGCGGGGCCTGGCATAATAAACCCGAACAAATAAAACGAAAAAAAAGGAAAACCCCTGTTGTGGACGGCCAAGGTGGCCTCGGACATCAATCAACATTTTGTGGCTTAGGCCCTAGTTTTTAGGGCCAGGCTAACCTGCCTGTGGTGGCCGCTTGGCCAATTGCTATCCTAAACCTACATGAGAGATTTTCCTAGTTTGTAGAGCTCAGCTTCCAATTATATAGGGATGTTGATTCATTCTTCGCTTATCAATCTTCCTATTAACAAACTTCTCAATGGTTGGAGTTTATAGGGTGTAAGATCTGTTTTGGATTAAGATTTTCCAGTGAACCTAAAGTGAAAAGATATAGTTATTAGTTACAATGGCTCTTTGGTAAACAAATTATTGCTCATCGCTAAGGACATGCCAGTTTGAGCCGCAGTTAAGGGGTAGATATGTATTGCACAAATAAAAGCGAACTCTATCCCTAGAGAAAATGTAAATCACTTGACCTTTAAAGAGAACCGTGTATGTTAAATGTTTCTCTTAAAATCTCTCCTTGTATCTCTCTTCCGTCATTACTTTTGGCTTCCTAAATTGTCTCTAACATGAACTTACATAACCATAATATTTCTATTGCATTGGACATTTTCGATATTGAAGATAAGTTAGAGAAAACATAGGATTTTCTTGATTTTTTTTTCTATTTGCTAGGGAGAGAAAATACACGTGTTTCCCAATCTCCAGGGAGAGAATTTTGATAAGTTAACTAAAATCTGAAACCCAGTGATGATAATTACGAGATATTTTAGGGTAGTTCTCTCCAAATCTTTTGTGTTTCCTAGAGAAAGAGCACTTAAGTCTCTCCCAATCTTAAAGGAGAGTATATGTGGTTCTTTGGGAGAAATATAAGTTTTGAATTACTTTCAAATTATAATATCATTATTAACTGTTATTACAATTAAGAATATAATTTTAGTTAATAGTAAAATATATTTTTTAAGATAATTTATACTTACTATAATTAACAAGTGTATTACAATGCATGTAATTTTAAATATTCCTAGTAGCAGAAGCTTCCACATTGGTAGTGTTAGGAGACAACTACTACTGCTACTGTTGTTGCTGCTCCTACCACTGCTGCTGCTACTACCACTGCTATTGATACTGCTACTCCTCCTTCTACTACTGCTACTACTACTGCTCCTCCTCCTCCTGCTACTACTACTACCACTACTACCCCTACTGCTATTATTGCTGTTGTTGTTGCTACTACTGCTTCTTTTCCTCCTCCTGCTACTGCTGCGACTACTAGTGTTATTATTATCATCACCATCATCATCATCATCATCATTATTGTTATTATTATTAATTTCTTGTGATTTTGTGGCCTAAAGGCTTGTGTTGTATCCACGTTATGTTTTTATTTGGATGGAAGCATAATTAGTGGGGTTCTGGGATGAGGCTGTGTCGCCCATCTGGGTTGAGTGGATGATGCCCATCTAGGACTTAGTGCTCATATTTGAACAATGGTCTAAGAGGATACAACTAGAATATGGCCTTGTGTGTGACCTATCCAAGATGTTGCTTGGTTTCCATCGAATATAGAATGACATCTTGGAGTGCCAGATTCAAAGTGCCTTGTAGCACTAATACGATTTTAACCCGAGTTTTGTGGTCTAGGCCTAAGAAGCTCCACTTTTGTATATATAAATGTGTGTGCACAAGAGTCATAAAATCACAAGACTCTTCCGTTGTGCTTCAATGGCCATGAGGCGTGAAGCACAATTGAAGAGGATTTATTTAGAGGGTCATTCTTCATCAAGGTCGGAGATATGCCCAGTTGCATATGGCCGGAGGGTGTTTACTCCAATGTGAGGATCAACAGTCTTGTGAGGACAAGAGCCAAAACCTCAATATATGATCTCACGAGATGTTCATATGAAGGGACATGCATATGTATAGGAAGAGAATATACAACTAGCATTATCGGGACATGAGATTGGTGCTTACGACTTGTCCTTAGGGGGCACTTGTAATCAACATCAGTTCCATAGTCCCGCCAACTATTGGCCAACTTTAAAGGACCAAGTACAAGACCTTGTGATCTAGACTGTGGGTCAAAGGCTCTGATGGGTTTGTTTGAGAAAATGGTGTTGAATTCCAGTTTTTGAAAGGTGGGAAGCGCTTTTTTGTAAGTGGAAAATATTAATCTTGTGGAAAATATTAATCTTTAATACATATTCTCTTTCAATGGATTTTCCTTAGTTATAGTAGTTGGAATTTAAAGAAATAATATTTTGGAGACAATTTTAAATCTTTTTAGTAATATTTTTATAAATTATTTTTCCCATTTAAAGTAATGACTTCCAACAGAATATAAAGGAAAATGGTTTAATAGGGCTACAGCTCTAGCAAAACAAGTAAAGCCTCACCTCATAACTCATCAAAAGTTGTAATTCAAGCGTTAAAAAACTTTTACATCAATCATCTTGGCTTGAACATTATGGTTGTGAAAAAAAAAAATGATTTCAAGCTCTAAAAATAGTGTATATTGTAACAAATTTTCTCGATTGTCCATTTTTCCCTAAAATAAGTGTTCATAGATCCGCAAGATCTGTATCATTTTTTGAGTTTTGGTGTTGGGAATTTGATTTTAGAGCCATCATGGAGTTTTCCATTGCCGAAAATGCTTTTTAGATGAGGATTTGAGGTGAGGGTTTATTTTGTTTTCATCAAACCTAGGCCTTATAAAAACCTCATCCAAGTATAAAAGATAATACTTTCACACCTGTGGATGAAGTGGCACATATGAAGGCCCAATGGCCAGTGAGCCACCACATGAGGCTCATTTGGATCCACATGTGTGGGGGCCTACACCCCACACCCCACTCTGTGAGAGCGTGACATCATCATCATCTCTCTCTCTCTCTCTCTCTCTCTCTCTCATGTGGTAGAGCTTCCAGATTCCACACGTGGGAAGAGAGTGCGTGTTCAAATGGGGTGCATGGGTTGTGTTATTTGGGATGAAGTGAGGTAGCACTCGTACATTGGTTGGGACGATATCATCCACATGCTGTAAGCAAATTGGAGAGGAAGTTTTTCAAATTCAAATTTAAAGGCAATATGGATTAAGATGGTCAAGGTGTATGTGATCCACCTCATTTCATTTCATGGTAGCTGATTCTAAGGAATGGAATGGATGTTTAGGTGTTTAGGCATTTCCATTCACCAGGAAAGGATGCGATCCCCACAACCTAACATTATAAATACGAGCCAAGAGATCCGACTTCAAGACACCTTCTCTCACAAGATTTGCCTCTATGCTCCTCCATCACAAGAGCTTTGCAGCTCTACACCCGAATCAAGTAATATCTCGACATGATTTTGGTCACTTGCTGCATTCTCTGCAATTGAGAGCTTGATCAAAGTTTTTTCTAGGACCATATGTCAATCAAATCTCATTTCCACCATGTTGTGACGTAAATTTTGTGCATGGAGTAATTTGACTACTAACCTCATAAATTAACCCGTCTCTTCAATTTGCAACAACAATTCCTCTTTAAGTTGCTGCAACTTGGATGATCATCATGTTGCCATAGTTTGATTATTTGAGCTACATATTGGCTTGCATATAGAAATCAATTGATTGTGTATAGGCTGAATAATTAGCATTGAATTGAGCCTATATATAAACTCCAGGCACAATATTTATTCCATTTGCATCATCATCAATTAGATCAGGGGCTGATATGAGGCCAATCTTAGCCATTGATGTGTCTGATTTGATGGCTGGACTGTGATCAAATCATGAAATTTTCATTGGTCAGCATTATGTGCTCAAATTGTGCATTGATTTGGAGGATATTATATCTTAGCCGTACATGAAACAGTAGCCTCACAGTTTGATGGTGAGATCTTTCATTTTGATGATTATTACCTTCCACAATTAGTGCGTCTCAGCCCAAAATGCATGTGAGGTGTTGATCTCCATAAGGCTTCCATTTGTATAGAGCATGGCCATTGATATCATATTTTTTATCGTAGTAAACCGGTATGGGTTGTTGCTAAGTCTCACTAAGGTATCTTTGAGTGTGGATAATGACTTTCCATGCTTCCCTCTAGTTGCTCTTGAGATGTTGCTAACGTCTTTGTTGTATTGTCATTGTACATTGTGTTGAAATTGAATTGTTGTAAGTGTTTGCAATTGTGCCTAAGAGGCTAGTAACTGTATGTAATAGATATTTTTGGCGAGCAAAAGTGTTTTAAATGTTGTAATTGGGTCAAGGTGTTTGATTGTATTCTGTTGTAACTGCAGGTAAAGAAATAGTTATGCATAGTGATTTTTTTTTTAAACTACATGCCCGTTTTTTATCCCTACGTCACACCTTACATAAGCATGATTACAATGTAACTAATTTTAAGCACTCTTATTGATATGTAATGAGTTTAATAATATTTTAACACATTTTTTCAAATATTTGAAATATTATGTTGTCTCGCCTACAAAAATGGGATGTAAAATAATATGATGATTATAGGATTACAAGATACCATATATTTTTCAAAGAATTTGTACTATAACAATACTACATTTATAAATTTTTTATTACTAGTATAATAATTCTAATAGATTTATTATTACAATTGTAGATTAGAATTATTATTACAATTGTAATTAGTGTTATAACTAAATATTATTAATATATTACAATGACGTTCTTATATTTCTATAATTATTTATATTAATAGTTAATGACTATTATAACTAGAATGATAAGTTATAATCTCATCTATATTAGTAAATGTATAATAAATAATTATAAATGAATTAATATTTGTAATGTGGTTATAGTTATAAGAGTAATGACACTATGAGACCCTCCCACACC